GTGATTAAAACAAGAGAGCCAGTTTAATCTCTAAAACAGAATTCTAAGATTAAAGTCAGAATTTTTTTTTATTTTTTTAATGGCCCAAAGACTCCTCCATAATCATACTTGCATAAACATTCAGTTCGGCTGATGTTTTCATGGGAAAAATATTAAACAATCAGATGGAAACCTTAAGCTCCCCTCCCTCTGGCCCATCTATGGCTCAGCTGTTGAAACCACAGCTGAAATCATGTGTTAGACGTCTGAGTCCCTCCCTGACATGACTTCATGTTCCTGGCATCCAAACTACACAGAGATGCCACTCCCTCTGCAACACTTTGCAGTCACATCTGTATGATGTATTATTTATTGAATCTCAGAGGTGATAAATGTGCTTGTCAGGAGGATGCTAACATGATGCGAGGAGAAGATGACTCACTTATTTGTGTTTTAGTTTCATGTCAGCCATGATGGGGTATCAGAGGTTCTCCGTGTTTTTTTAGGGAATAGGATGCACTTGATAATAAAAGTGTGTCTTTCTCTGTGTTCCCTGTTGAGAGCTGACTCCTTTTCATCTGTTTCTGTACCAGAGTTATCTCTCCTCCTTTCCTCACCCTCTCTCCTCTCGGCCTCCCTGCGCTGGCTCTTCATGCTGATCTCTGCCCTCAGCGTCGTGATCTCCAGCTCGTACTCCTGGGTCTCCTCGGTCAGGCGCTGCAGCTCAGCCCGCCGACGGCACAGCTCCTCCTGCAGTGATGCGATATCGTTCTCCCGCTCCGCAGCTGCGTCTTCCGCCGCCTGCTGAAGCAGGAGAACCTCCTCCTGGGCAACGCGCAGCTCCTCCTGGGCCTCGGCCAGCTCGCTCTCTTTCTCCTCCTCCAAACTGTTCATCTCCTCCTGCACGGAGCGCAGCTGGGCTGTGGAGGAGCAGGAGACGGTTAGCTTTACTTCATAGGTGTGTGGGTAAGGCTGTTGTGTCACTCTTTGAGAGTGATCTCACCTGAGTTATTGCTACAGTGTGTTTCTGTGTGGGTGGTGTGTGCTTGCTGAGAGCAGAGCTGATGTAACTGAAGGTAACCTCAGCTTTTTTCACATTAGAGTTAAGATTTTTAGTTTAGCAGTTACATGCAGAGGGAAAACAATGCTGAACCCTTGTCATATGTCAGATTTAGATATTGATATTTACATGGAGAACCTTTCGAATCTTATTTCTTTGCTGTTCTGTAACCATTAACTGAGACATTTGGCTTGATTGAAGTAAAAAAAAACGACGACAGCACATGAATGTTTAATTTTTTACAATCAGTGTGGAGGAGGCATCACTGAAAGGACTACCTTTGAAACCACTTTAGACTGCAGCCCTGTGAAACTTCAGCTGAACTAGTGCAGCAAAAATCTTTTTTAAATCAACACATCTCGTGAAATGTTTGTTTTTGAATATGAAATGTATTAAAATGTGTTTGAATAGCAGAACAACACTAAGCGGGTCTTTTGTGAGGTAAAACTAAAGGGATATATGGTTTTTGACTAATAAAAATATATGCCCCCTGTGTTCAAATGCCTCTAAATCAGGGGTCACCAACCATTTCAAGGCTGAGGGCTACTTCATGGCTATCGAATCATAGGAAGGGCTACCAATACTGACCTATGAACAAGAGGGGTCAGCGTTCACCTAAACATCATCCAAATTAAACACATTTTTTATTGTTAACTTTTAATTTCATATTTTACTTTAAACATTATAATTTTAAAATCTCTATAAATGCTAAAATGCCCTATATGATTAGTATGATGAAATGCTCTATAAATGATTAAAAACAAGAGTCACAAAATAAAATAAAATTTCAAACTTAGCCCACTGCTGAGCTGTTGTTTTCAAAATGCGTTGAGGGCACCCCATGTGGTCCTTGAGGGCCCCTTGGTGCCCGCAAGCACCGCGTTGGCGACCCCTGCTCTAAATAATCTATGCAAGCTGTTGCTTTTAGTGGCCTTCTAACTAGTAAACAGGAGGAGAAATATAACCTTTATATAGATCCAGCTGTTCTTTGAAGGCCTCAGTTGATCTGAGGCCTTGAGTTGGGGTAGTTGTAGCCTAGTGGTTAGGGCATAGAGCTTGGAATCCTGAGGTTGTGAGATTGAAACTCACTAACACAGACTGCCACTCTGGGTCCCATAATGAAGGTCAGATGCAGCAGAAAGGTCAGGGGTGAAGACATGGCTGTTTCCGTAAACACTGTATAGCGGTTACGCCATTTTAAATGAGTGTTCGAACGACTAGTGGATGAAAAGGTAGTGGACTCCAAATTCCCCATAATGCACCTTGAAAAGTAGTGATCATCCATGGCCACTAGACAAGCAGATATATCCCAGATTACTTTGCGAGAGCTCTCCTTGCAAAGCATCATGGGATTTTTTGTAGCGGCGACAAATAACAAACCCCACATCATGTGAGGAGCTGGAGTCACGTGACCAACGGGGAGCAAAAAGCAGTGATCATTTGTCCTAACGGTAAGTTAACTGAGTTCACTATAGAGTCCACTAAATAGTCCCCACTCTATATTTAGGGAGGACCGTCGGACACAGCCATGGAGCAGGATATGAAATC